GTGGAGGGGCAGGGATAAGAGTATAGTCTCTCCCTTTTAAGGAAGCTTCCTGGGCATGCCATACAACATCTCTGCTTACAGCCCAATGGAAAAATCTTCATCAAATGACCACAGCTGGAAGGAAGACTGAGAACCCTCCCTCCGTCTCCACATACTCTAAATAAGATCAAGATTTTGTCACTGAGGAAGAAGGAGCACTTATTGGCATAGGCAGCAACATTCTACTTTAAGTTAAGCAAATGTGTTGCAAAGAACATATTTTCTCTTCTCAATGAGCTTTAGAGTGCCAAAATGATCTTTCAGGTGTTCTTAAAACATATGATTGAATATGTTACGAAAAAAATAAAATGAAATGCCTCCATCTATAAACCAGTCTTTGTAAGCAACAGATAAACATGAGATATATTTGCAACCACATGGATGGTAAACTTTATATTCATCACACATTCTATTTTATGGGAACATGAAGCATTAGCATAAGAGATAATAGGTAACAAGTTCTTATTCTAATTAAGCCCAAAAATTTACCTGACAAGGATCAATATAAGAGATTGGTTTTAACCACAACTTAAATTTATTGATGGGTGCACTGTGCTCAGAAACAAGCACTTTGAAATAATTTCCTTACTGACGTGGTTTACTGTTTTGTCCAGCAGTGTTGAGTTATTTACTCTTTCAACAGATATTTAGTAAGTGACACCTCAAACACTGGTCTTAGTACTAGAGAAATATAGGGATAAATAACTCACAGATCTGGCCCTGAATGAGCCACCATCAAGTAGAGAAGACAGGGAGTAGGGGGAGGGTGAACTACACAAATGACTGATGGTGTACAAGGTAGAATGCATTTAGTATCATATATTTTAAAACCTGTTCTGAGAGTTGATAGAAGAATAATATCATTACTACATATCATAGAGAACTTCATGGAAGAAAATACATTTAAGGAGTATTATGTAGTATTAGAAGCTCTGGTAGCATAGTGCCTAAGGATTTGACTGCTAACCAGTAGGCTGGTGGTTCAAACCCACCAGCCACTCCTCGGAAGGAAGGTTGGGCAGTCTACTTCCATAGTGACACCGCCTTGAAAATCCAAGGAGGGGTCGCTATGAGTCAGGTCCGACTCGATGGCACATAACAACAACAACAACAGAAGCTCTGGTGGCATAGTGCCTAAGGCATTTGACTGCTAATAAGAAGGCTGGCAGTTCAAACACACCTGCTACTCCTTGGAAAAAAGATTGGGAAATCTGTGGTATTAGGTACTTTTCCTGTGCCTACACTATTCTGATGCTTTCATTTATCAAATGAGAATTAGACTCTAAAACTTGAGCAACGTCTTGATTGCCAGAAGGTAGGGAAGGGGGACAACTTTCCTGCAAGCAGAAGAAGCAGAGAAAGAGGGACTGGCCAGAGCACTGGGAGACGAAGCATTGGGGGAAGAAGGTAGCAGGCCAGGGTGCATGTGCTTCTATATATGGGCTATAGTGTCATCATAGGAGAACAATAACTAAGGTTGAAAGGTGTTGAAGCTTCGATCATTCTACTTTGTATTATTTCTTGCAGGCCTGTTTTCCATGGCAGCCAAATATCCTATGAGCTTAGACGCTTTTTTATTTACCCTTGTTTCTCGGAAGAACATACTCCAGAAAGGCCATCCAAATGAACAATGGCCCTAGTAGAGAGATTCAGTGGGCCCTTTATTGTTGTTGTTGTTAGTTGCCATCAAGAAAATTCCAATTCATGGCGACCCCATGTGTCAGAGCAGAATTGCTTCATAGTATTTTCAAGACTGTGACCTTTCCAAACCAGATTGCCAGGCCTCTTTTCCAAGGTACCTCTCAGAGGGTTCAACTACCAAACTTTTGGATAGTAGTTGAGTGCTTAACAGTTTGCACCACCCAGGGACTCTTTTGTGGGCCCTAATCCTTGCTAAAAGCTGACCCAAAGCTGGATTCTGGTGAGCTGTTAAATTAGCCCATTCCGCTATACTGAAAAATTAGTAATGATTAGAATTAGGTCTCTAAGGCAACCAGAGCTAATTGCAGACCAGGATATATACTGAAAGTAGTATTTTTCCTTGATAACTTGCCCTAGATCAGGGCTTCTTCTTCTTCTTCTTTTTGTTTTTAATGCTGTGCATTAACGGGAATGTTGATACATTGTAATAAATGTTGCTAATGTCACTGAATCAATTTGTCAAAAATTGTCAAGTGGGATCTTGACTTGCTGTGTAAACTTTCATCAACAACTCAATAGAATATTATGTGATAGTTGAAGATATGTGTCAACTTGGCTGGACCACAATTCTGTGTGGTTTGGCGTTGTGGTGTGGTTGTTCCTATGATGGGAACAGATGACTCTGTTCTGAGTGGCCAATCTGTCGAAGGGGAGTTTCCCTAGGGGTGTGGTCTACTTCCAGTATATCCAAGGACATCTTGGGAAAAGAGACATTCTTCTGTGGATCGGGATTCTGTTGTGCAGCTTACAACTGTCCGTAAGTGCACAGTCCACCATTCTGCCTGGAGATCTTGGATTCATCATTCATTGGAGTCAATAGCTGGTGTACTGCCTGCCAGCCTTGAGCTCCTCAGCCCCTGCAGTTGCAAGAGCCA